TCTGTTTCGCTTTTGGTTTGGAGTGGAACCAGCAAAAGCGGGCATAGGTAATAAAACCAAAGGTTAAACACTCAATTTGGTCCCTGAATTATTATATGTACCCTTGATTTGGTCCCTAAACTGTTATACAGACCTTTAATTTGGTCCTACTGTTTACTAATTTGTCTCAAATTGATCTTTTTGTACAAAAAATAGTTGAATCATTTGTTACTTAATGGTAAAAAACAGTAACTTAATAACAAAAAATAGTAACTTAAAAGTCATGTGTCATATTAATAATAAGATATGTTAGTTGGTTTTTGTACGGAAGGGTCAATTTTGGGTAAATTAATAAACAGTAGGACTAAATCGGGTTCCGTGCAATAGTTTAGAGATTAAATCAGATATTTTTTTAGTTTAGAAATCAAATTAAAATTCTATACAATAGTTTAGGGACTAAATTGGGGATTTAACCTAAACCAAAAGCAAAGAGAGTTTTTTTTTTTTATAAGGTTTCAGGAAAGGGTTTCTGTTCTGGTGTCGACACTCTAACCAGTTCGGCTGAAGACAAAATACCTGCTGAGTATTTTTTTTTAAACTCCATTTCGGTCCTTTTATTTTCACAAAAGTTCCTTTTTAATTCTAAAAGTTTATTATCCAAGTCCTTTTTTTGTCTCTTCCTATTCTTTTACACACATAATGTATTAGATGGTAAAAGTTTTAAAATAAAAAGACTCAAAAGAGGTTTTTTTTTAACATAAAGATGAACTAAAAAAGGGATTTTTGGTTAAAATAAAAAGATTAAAATGGATTTTTAACCCTTTTTTGAATCAAGATTAATTCTTTAATAACACATGAGTCCCAAATTAAGATTTTTAAATTAATATGCATTTTTAAATAAAATTAGTACGTATCAGTTTTGATTTTCAAAAAAAAAAAATAGAGTTTTGACATATATTTAGAAATTGAAATTCTAATTCAAAATTTAAAAATTCAATTAATTTCTAAATCTAAATTTCAATATTTAATAAGATAAATTTTTAGATTTTAAATTAAATTTTAATTAAATAAAATGATGTATTTCAAAATTAAAATTCTAATTTTTTTTAAAAAAATAGAACTAATATATATTTTTAATTTAATGAATATTAATTCTATCAATTTTTGGTTAATAAAAAAAAATTGAGTTGTTAAAAGGTCAGCTCATAAGAAATAGTCCAGTAGTGCACCATGCCACTTGGTAGATCCCACCCAGATGCAGCTCTCTGTTGGCTCCAAACTTCTTGATAATGCTAAGGGTTTATTTGACACCTTTGAAAAGTATAAGGTGCGGGATGTGTCTGATTTAGGTTGAAGGGCTCATTTGACACCACTCCACAAGTTCAAGGGTTCATTTGCATGATCCGCCTCCCTCACCAAACATGCTAAGTGACCTGCCAGCCGGCTGGCCGCCACGTTAATCCACCATCGCCGCTTAGGTTTCTCCGGTTCCAGAGAGTGTAGACTGAAGCAAAAATGGAGCACAACAAGAAGAAGCTCATCATTCTACTCTCAATAGCATCCGTCGCAGCTCTCTCAATCATCTTCCAAAGACGCCGTCAGAAGAAGAACCGCCACGCCGCTCGCTGTTACTTACACACCGATCCTAAGCCTCAGTACACTTTCAAACACGTCTTAGCTGATAATTCCTACTCTCCTTTCAACCACCTGAACCTTGACGGTCTTGAAGAGAAATCGCATCCATATGAAGCGGATATCACAGCATTAATCGATAATCCGCCGGTTGAGTTTAAGTTTTTGGAAGGTGTCGATATAGACTTGGAAATGAATGATTCTTATGTTTGGGTTGATACCGAGTCGCAATTGACTCAACTAGCTGATGCTTTGAGCAAAGGGAAGGTTTTCGCTGTTGATACAGAGCAGCACAGCTTGCGATCCTTTCTAGGTTTTACTGCTCTAATACAGGTTCGTCGTGTACTGATGTTAACTATTGAGATGGAAATCTTTCATGTTTCTGTGAAGCATTCTTTTTACTTTCTGTTTTGGTTGGAATAGCAGATTTCTACTAAGAAGGATGATTATTTGGTGGATACAATTGCATTACATGATTCAATGAGTATTCTTCATCCAGTATTTGCTGATCCTAATATTTGCAAGGTGCCATTCAAAATGTTTGTTTGTTTGATATATATATATATTTTTTGGGTCTCAAATAAATCTATAGCTGTTGTTGTCATTTTGCTTTTGGAGTTGGTTTTTCTTTTTTCTGTTTTATTGCAAAGAATAGAATAAGAGCAGCATGTTTGTTGCAGTATCTCTAGTTTATTTCAAAAGAGTGGTTCTTTTCTTGTTCTCTCAAGCCTGTTTTTTCTGTGATTGTGTAGGTGTTCCATGGAGCTGATGGGGATGTTGTTTGGTTGCAAAGAGACTTTCACTTATACATAGTTAACCTCTTTGACACTGCAAAGGTGAGGTTTAAGTATTAACTAGCTTTGTAACCTGATATTTCCACTGCTTTCATTCTCTTTTTGATTGACTGATATCATTTTGTTTATTTCATGAAGTTGTGGATTCTAGAATCTTGATAGTAGGTTGTATTTTTCTGATTCTGTTATGAATTTTTAATTTTAAAATGGATTGAGATGTAAAATGA